AGGGTAGATGAAAGGGGGAAAGCAGAGAAGAGAGATGGGACCAGGGTGAAGCTGCAGGAATATCGGTGTCCCAGGGATGCAGGAGCAGTGGGGACGTGGGGCTGGGAGGTGAGAAGGGGTTCAGACAGAAGGGGACCTTTGGATTTGGTCGAAGTCAAGCAAATACAGTACAAGCCTGGCATAGTGAGACAGGGAAGTTCCACTATCCTTTTATTTACACTCTTCTTCACTAATGATTCCACTTGAGAGGGTACTTTTTCTTCAGCAAAGATATAATTAGTTTTGATTTTCTGCTGTGCACAGCCTGCCATCATAGGACACTGTTTGTACTGATATTGAAAGGTTTATTTTGTGATTTTTTAGAAGCTAATTACTTAATAATCAAGGCCATATTTTACATAGTTGCTATTACAGGTGATGTTTAATATGTATAATTATTTAGAGGAATTAAACAAAAAAGCCACAGTAGTTGGAGATTTGAAAATCAACTTGAATGTCAATGTGAATGATATAGAATAGACTATTCAAAATTATCTGAGAGCTTTTCAGTTGAAATTTCATTCAGTCCTCTAGTCAATGAGAATGCTAAAGAACTGTGCTAATAATCCCATGGAAATAATGAAACTTGAGTTGTGCTAATAATGGGGTATATGTACACACATATGTATAATTTTTTTCTTGGGCATATCTTTTGGGTGTGCTGTTAATAAGAATTCTTATAGAGAGGGGTGGGGAGTACATTTGAATCTTATTAGGATGCTACTATTTGGAAAGATTTATTTACATAAGTAAAATTGCATTATAGTAATGAGAACAGTAGCTACCATTTATTCAGCACCTACTTTGTCCCAAACATGTTACAATAATTCTGGGAAAGAGATATTATCATTCCTAAAGTGAAAAAATTGAAGTTACAGAGTTCAAATTATTTTTATTTAAAACCCATTTCACAGGTTAGTGAGTAGGAGAATCCTGCCCTTTTTGACTCCAGAGCCCATGTACTTTTCAGTGGACTGTCTGAATGAGAATCTTTATGGTATCAGAGTGAGTTACATATTTGTTGGAAGGAAGCTTTCATTGGAGAACACAGAAACTGCTAGATGAGAACTTTGTTAGCATTTTATCCTCTAATCTATTTATCTGTACCTGTACCTGACATTTTTCTTCTTCCTGTATGATAGACAAGGCTGTTTTCTCTAAGGACTTGATTCTTTGCATATCTTGCATCTTCAGTCTATGTCTCTTTTTTTACTAGCTTTTTCCCTTAAGCATAACTTACCCCATTACCATTATAAGAATTCTGTATTGGTTAGTAATTGCTGCATAATAAACCACTCCAAAACTTGGTAAAGTTTAAGTGTCATTTATGTAGCTCACTGTTTTGTGGGTCAACAAATGAATCTGCGCTCAGCTGGACTCACTTTTGCATCTGTGGTCAGCTGCTGGTCAGGAAGGCAGCTTTGCTGTGAAGCATGAGCTGGCTAATGGCCAGGACCATGAAGGTGACAGGAGCATGGTTGTTTCTAAGGTAGAGAGGTGCAGGAACTAGCCTGCTCTTCCTTATACTGTGGTGACTGGTTTATGATCTGGGCCCAAGTTAGGATAAATAAATCACTTCCAAAACCAAACACATTGCCCCAGTTTCTAGCTTAAAAATAAGTTGCTATAATGGGTCATGCCTCTGTGGTCTCTGTTATAGCTTAGCACTCTAAAAATCTGGATGTATTTGATGGGCAGGACAAAATGATATTTATTTCAGAGTCAATGCTCATTTATTACAGTCCCTTCTCTTTGTTGTTCTTAGAACTGTGTCCACCTGGCCCACAAAGACAGGTTATAGATTTGCTCTTCGAATGGACCATTGGGATTTTCTGTTGCCTTGTTACAGGCTGCATCCCTCACCTTGGATGGCTGACTTGATAACTTCTTAGGAAGCAAACTGGGCCATAGAGTCGATATGAAATAGTACTATTTCTCTTTGCTACTTAAAATTCAAACTTATGTTGAACCTACACTGATATCCTAGTAGCCTTTGTGAAAGTGGAGCCCAGAATATATGATGCACTTCACATGTTGGTTATGGTTATATCTGCTTTCACATTAAGTATACACTTGTTGAGCAGATGAGCCACATCATTTATTTATCTTTTGATTTTCTGCAGCCAATATTTTTATTTCATTCCGCAAATAGAAACAAGCCATTTAGGGGCTGGGATGTAAGTGCTTTGTTCTTTGTCATACCTCTAGGGCCTGACGGGGACTGGCATATGTTGGGCACTTGCTATTTATTAAATAAGTGAGTGACTGAAGAAATGGCTGAGTAGTTATTCCATGAGAATGATGGATAATTCAGTTTTCAGAAACCAAGAGATCAGGCAGATTATATTCTTTCTTACAGATTATGTCATTGAAGCCTACTGAGAAGTCCAGGCTGAAAAATATAAATTCAGGAATCATCCTGATAAATAGAATTATAGAAACCAGGAGAATGGAGTTCTCTTAGTATATGCAAAAGAGAGGAAGGGTAGATGAAAGGGGGAAAGCAGAGAAGAGAGATGGGACCAGGGTGAAGCTGCAGGAATATCGGTGTCCCAGGGATGCAGGAGCAGTGGGGACGTGGAGCTGGGAGGTGAGAAGGGGTTCAGACAGAAGGGGACCTTTGGATTTGGTCGAAGTCAAGCAAATACAGTACAAGCCTGGCATAGTGAGACAGGGAAGTTCCACTATCCTTTTATTTACACTCTTCTTCACTGATGATTCCACTTGAGAGGGTACTTTTTCTTCAGCAAAGATATAATTTGTTTTGATTTTCTGCTGTGCACAGCCTGCCATCATAGGACACTGTTTGTACTGATATTGAAAGGTTTATTTTGTGATTTTTTAGAAGCTAATTACTTAATAATCAAGGCCATATTTTACATAGTTGCTATTACAGGTGATGTTTAATATGTATAATTATTTAGAGGAATTAAACAAAAAAGCCACAGTAGTTGGAGATTTGAAAATCAACTTGAATGTCAATGTGAATGATATAGAATAGACTATTCAAAATTATCTGAGAGCTTTTCAGTTGAAATTTCATTCAGTCCTCTAGTCAATGAGAATGCTAAAGAACTGTGCTAATAATCCCATGGAAATAATGAAACTTGAGTTGTGCTAATAATGGGGTATATGTACACACATATGTATAATTTTTTTCTTGGGCATATCTTTTGGGTGTGCTGTTAATAAGAATTCTTATAGAGAGGGGTGGGGAGTACATTTGAATCTTATTAGGATGCTACTATTTGGAAAGATTTATTTACATAAGTAAAATTGCATTATAGTAATGAGAACAGTAGCTACCATTTATTCAGCACCTACTTTGTCCCAAACATGTTACAATAATTCTGGGAAAGAGATATTATCATTCCTAAAGTGAAAAAATTGAAGTTACAGAGTTCAAATTATTTTTATTTAAAACCCATTTCACAGGTTAGTGAGTAGGAGAATCCTGCCCTTTTTGACTCCAGAGCCCATGTACTTTTCAGTGGACTGTCTGAATGAGAATCTTTATGGTATCAGAGTGAGTTACATATTTGTTGGAAGGAAGCTTTCATTGGAGAACACAGAAACTGCTAGATGAGAACTTTGTTAGCATTTTATCCTCTAATCTATTTATCTGTACCTGTACCTGACATTTTTCTTCTTCCTGTATGATAGACAAGGCTGTTTTCTCTAAGGACTTGATTCTTTGCATATCTTGCATCTTCAGTCTATGTCTCTTTTTTTACTAGCTTTTTCCCTTAAGCATAACTTACCCCATTACCATTATAAGAATTCTGTATTGGTTAGTAATTGCTGCATAATAAACCACTCCAAAACTTGGTAAAGTTGAAGTGTCATTTATGTAGCTCACTGTTTTGTGGGTCAACAAATGAATCTGCGCTCAGCTGGACTCACTTTTGCATCTGTGGTCAGCTGCTGGTCAGGAAGGCAGCTTTGCTGTGAAGCATGAGCTGGCTAATGGCCAGGACCATGAAGGTGACAGGAGCATGGGTCTACCGTCATCCAGTAGGCCACCCTGGACTATCCACGCGGTTGCTTGGGAGGATATTGAGAGAGAAGTCTGCAAATCATTTTGAGACCTAGATTTGAAACTAGTGTCCCTTCATCGGCATTCTGTCAGCCTACGCAAGTCACAAGGCCAGCCCTGCTTCAGGGATAGAGAATTAGATTGCTGCATGTGGCCCTGTTCCTTGTCACTAACTCCAGTTAACCCTTTAAGACCATAGTCATATCATCACCTCAGTCTGAATCATGTGCTAGGGTGTGGGCTCCCTCTGTCACTGCATTTAGAACATTTTGTGCCAGTTATTGGTTTACTTTTTAATAGAAAATGAGCTCCTTAAAACAGTGACTGTGCTTCAGTTTAAGATTTGTCACATAGTAGGTAACCTTTAAAAGCAGTTCTTGTGAAAAATAGCATTCCACTAGCTGATACCTGGCAATATGGAAATGGAAGGCAATAAATGCTTACATCTTAAGACTTGCTTACTGACATTTAAAAAATTTTGCATCTGTTTCTAATATATCAAAATCAAATACTTCTTTAAAAAAATGAAGAGTAAAGGAAGTATCTTTTACAGCATTGTGAGTAGGAGTCATTATTAAATATTTGTACACTGTCCTTGTAGATTTTTTATTAGGTTACAAGTTTGTTTATAAGGGAGACAAGTCATATTTTCATGGCATATTTGTCAGAGAAAGTATACCCATCCATTACCTAGTCCATTGGGTTTTGGGATAAAATTTCTCTTTTAGAATGTAAAATGAGGTAGGATGTGAGCCAGTGTCCTAGATGTTACTCCAGAAGACACTGAAAAATACATGTCCCTGCGAGATGGGAGGTGATGTATATATATGTATGTAATGTAAACTCATCTTCAAGTGAGTATGTCTGACCAGTGTATTGATTTTTAACTGATGGATTGTCATGTGCATTTTATTTTATGTTTTAGGGTTAGCCACCTGTCTGAATACCTTCCCAGATTCCTAAAACTTGACCTCATTTTCCCATCACTGGGTTGATACTTAACCATGCTGCGAAGGTCCAGAGGAATTAATGCTGGACTTATTCTGCTCCTTTCTCAAATCTTCCATGTTGGGATCAACAACATTCCACCTGTCACCCTAGCCACTTTAGCTCTCAACATCTGGCTCTTCCTGACTCCTCTGAAGCCCCTGTACAGCACCTGCATTAGCGTGGAGATGTGTTACCAGCACAGGGACTGGCTGCGCCTACTGCTTTCCCCTCTTCACCATGCAAGTGACTGGCACTTGTACTTCAATATGGCGTCCATGCTGTGGAAAGGAGTATGCCTGGAAAGGAGACTAGGAAGCAAGTGCTTCGCCTGCATTGTCACCACATTCTCCCTACTCACTGGGTTGGTGTACCTCTTACTGGAATCGGCTCTTGCAGAGTTTACAGGTGAACCTGGCTTCAGAAGGAACTGTGCTGTAGGCTTTTCAGGTAAGGCAGACAAATTTCTCAGGCAACATGTGTGAAGATGGTAAGGTAGGTGTGGCTATTGTTGTTTTATTACTCATGGCCCTCGAGGCAATGAGGGAACTGAATTCTGAGTGGCTGAAGTCTGCTGGGGCTTGGATTTTGGAGAGGAAGCTGGAGCACAGGGGGATCATAGATTTTTCTATTTCACATTATGTGGAACAATTCACTCTTGAACAATTGGACTAGGATGGGACCAAAGGTAGTTGTAGGGGATGTAGCGGTGCACTGACTCCATCATGGTGGGGCTAGGGAGAGACCCACTGGTGTATTTGTGGTAGGGGTTCCTAAAAAGATGATGATGCGCTCTATAACTTCATTAAAATATGTGCATCACACCCAACCAAGGTGTAATCACCATGTTTTAGAGGCAAGCTAGTCATTCTAGATAACCAGGGGTATTTAACTCACATAACAGGTCCACAGGGCAGTGTCACTATCTTGATTTTGTAGATGAGGAAGTTCAGACCCAGAGAAGTGAGGTAACTTGCTCAAGGGTACACACCTAATAAGGTGTAGAGCTGGCATTAGAACCCAGTCTGCATGACTTTAACCATGTGTCATATTGCCTCTCACTGGTTCCCTTCACTAGTTCCTTTTTTACATTTATCTTCCCATTGAAATTGCCATCAGGACTTAAATTAGGTGTTCTAAAATGTAGAATGTAAGGGAAGGGGAGAAATGGTCCAGAAGCAGAAGGAAACCTAACCCTTCCCTCTGCTTTCCCTGCCATCCTACCCACGCCCCCATCTTCCAAGATTCACCCTCACGTACCTAATTGTGGGAGAAGAAAGGAAATATGCCTGCCTTCACCATGTCTTTACACGGAGGTTAGATAAATACCCATTACCAGTATTTTTTTTAACCGAATAATTCAGAGGCATTTAGTACCATTGCTGGTGTTTCCTTCCCCTTTTATGTGTTACACTTTGGTAGCATACTCGAAGTCTGTATGAACTCTGTGTTAAGAAACATCAAAAAACGAGTGCCCTAGACATCATCTTTGTTTTGTACGCTGGGTGGACTTGTAAGGAAAGAGGGTATGTTTCAAAGCAAAAAGTTGCTGTCATTGAGCAATCATTTTCATTTTCAGTTCATTTTCTTTGCAAATGCTGATTATCTCCACATTTGGATTGTTGATATTAATATGCTCTTTATTCTCTTTCAGGAGTTTTATTTGCTTTGAAAGTTCTTAACAACCATTATTGCCCTGGAGGCTTTGTCAACATTTTGGGCTTCGCTGTACCCAACAGATTTGCTTGCTGGGCAGAACTAGTGGCTATTCATTTCACCTCGCCAGGGTAAGTGTTTACTCCTAGAGAATACAAATGAAGAGCTTGCTGTTCCGTGGAGAAAGAATTGCAGTAATAATGAGGTTACCAGTTGCTTTTTATGGTGAGGTTTATTTTTTCCACTCTAAGGACAGAATGGAGCTTAATGGTCTTAATGTCAGACATATCTGAGTTTGAGTCCTGTCAACTACTGGATGATTTTGGATTACTTATCTTATTTGAATTTCAGTTTCCTCACCTTTTAAGTAGGAACGATAGAATCTGATATACAGATCTGAGGGTCAGTAGCCACCAGCCTATTAGTTAATTCTAGTAACAGTAGTCCAAAGAGGCACGTAGAAGTGACATGATTATAACAATAAAACATCACAAGGTATGTTAGGCCAGTGCTTTTAAGCCATTTTAGTTACGAATTGTCTTGGTAATAGAACTCTTTAAATGAAAGGCTTTATTCACAACCTTGGTATATAAAATGAATCAACTCTGAACTGCTTTGAGTTGAGAGGAAGCACAGGGCCCCGTTCTCTCACCTTACCACCTTGTCTGTATGGGTGCCCGGACCCCGAGAGCTCCAAAGAGCACAATTTGAGAACTGTGAAGCCTTTTCCTTACAGATGAGGATGAGAAAATTTAGGAAGGTAAGGGACTCATCGAAACAGCTCGTGGTAAATATAAGAGTCGTAAGGATTCAGGCCCCCTGACTCCTGGTATCGTGCTCCTCCCTGGGTGCTGGGCTTTGCCACTTGGGTTCCTTTCTCTGCTTTCTGTTTAGAAAAAGGAGGGGGAATTGTGGGGTTTTTTTTCCCCCCATCTCTTCCACCAGCCTCATTTCTTTTAATCTCTATAATGCAACTGGAAGCCCAGTGTTTGTTTATTTATTTTTATCATCAGGACCTGGATGCTTTTGGAGAAGAGAGAAGTTCAGGAAGATTCAGAAAGAGGATTTTTTTGCTGCTGTTCTTTTAAGATAGGAGTTTTTATTTTGCTTTTGGTTGGTGTGACTTTTGGGTGTACTACTTTATCTGAGAACATTCTCCTTGGGCTGTATGTATGTCAGCCCCCAAACCAAGAGTCCTTCTTTTAATGCTAATTTCCCCTCGTGGGCAGCTACTGGCAGCTGGTCCATAAAAGGCAGTGATGTGGCCACTGAACACCACTCATTTGCAACTGTATTGTTATCTTGTGACAGTTCCATGAAGAAAGCCTTACAAAATCTTCAAAGTTTACTTTGAAAAAGGGGCCAGTAATGTCTGTCCCTTATCTGAACAGCCCCCTCTATACCTTGTCACTCACAGCTCCCTGGCTTGTTTGATGTGACTTGGTTCTCTGTGTAGAAGAGGGACTCTTGCATGTGCTGGCAACACCCAACATTCATATGAAAATCACTCCCTCCAGTACTTGAACTTTTATTGCATAATGAATCCATTGAATAGCAGTGCCTTTAATATTCTCACATGACTATTTCTGTAGACTCTTATCATGCATTTTAGTTTTTTAGGGTCCTCCCCTTTACATGGAAAAGGCATGGTTGCATTTTCATGTAATATGCTTATTCTGCGTGAAGGGACCTGATATTCTGGGCCTGGGAATTAAATGAAATTTCCTGTCTTTGAAGTTTGAAAGAATAAATCTTTTGGTTTTTAAGATTTGACTACTTTGAATGATAAACTTCTGCTATCCAAGCATCTACTTATGCATGTGTCCAAATAAAGACTGAGCTAAATGCTAGTCCAAGAAACCTAAGAAGCAAGTGTTTCTTTGAGATGGATCTTGGAAGAATGGGAGAAACCAGAGCTCTCTTTGCTCTGCATTGTTATTCTCCCAGTGGCTGTCAATTAGAATTTTCATCGGAAAACACTGTAAATCTTTAGAACAAAGCCTGCTTTATTGTTGAACTTAATGAGCTGCCCTTTGAGAGAAAAAAAATCTGCCAAGCAAACATTTGATGGACTTCTGTGTTTTATGAAAGCCATGGACTTAGTAATTTCCCCCAGTTACAGCGTTTTATAGAGGGAAGCCTCTCCAAGCAGCCAGCCGTGAGGCCCAGTGAGGGGTGTGGACTTGCCCAGCAGAATGAAGTAATCACACTCAGTTGCTGGGGCTTGTGCTTTTCAAGCACTGGCGTTGTACCTTGTTTAAGTGATTGCTTTGTCTCCCATGTCTTTTCACTTCCCTGCATGTCCTGGGACCCTGGGCTTTGAAGGTGTTTGGGAAGTGTCCGTGTGCCCAAGTGCAGGTTCCTGCAGGAGGAAGCTGCCTCTGTACAGACTGGGCTCTGGCCCCTTCCCACCTCTTAGCCTCCACCTTCTATGGGCCAAAGGCAGTGGGATGTGTTGTCACATTGGAGCCCCAGTTTTGAACCCCTGCAGTTGCTGGTGAGCCTAAGGCTGACCAGTCCAAGAGCTGATGCTCAGAGAAATGACTGTTACCCAGAATCAGACAGCCACTCGGGGACCATGCCAGAGGACAGTGGTCACATGTGAGAGGACTTGGACTCACGTGCCAACTGTGGGAACTCAGGCAAACCATAAGGCCTCTCTGAGCCTCATTTTTCACATCTGTCAAATGGGCACATGACTATTTCCTAAGTCAGTCGTAATCCATATGGAAGTGTACACTTAACTCACATTTTTATTATAAAATAAGTCACCAAAAGTATGCAGTGTCCCTGAAAGGAACATAGTTGATTTCTTTTTCTTCCCAAAGTCAGTAAAATAAATCAAGTAAAAATTTGTTTGCTTAGTTCCATCTCTCCCTGCTTCTTGTTTTCCCTTGACTTTTCCATCCTCAGTGGCAATCAGAAGTCAAAAAATTCCCATGAGCTACTCTTAAACACGGATTAAGCAGGTCACAACTCATTTGGACCCTAGGAGCTTCTGTGGTACAGCATGACAGTTCTCAGAACATTAGCCCCTTGGCTCTGGGTACTGTGTCATTGTTGTTTGATGAGAGTAATTTCTTTGATCCTACTGAAAATTTCTCAGTAGATTAACCAAATGAAAGAAAAATAGATTTAATAAATATTTTGTTTGTTCCAATTTTTTCATTGTAAACATTTTCAAACACAAGCAAAAGTTTCTGAACCATTTGCAAGTGAGTTACAAACATCATAACTTCACCCATGAAAATTTAGCATGTGGCTCCTAAAAATATTCTTTTATGTAACCATGTTACTATTGTCCTGCTGAAGAAAATTAGCAGTAACTCCCTAGTGTGGTCTAGTACTTGGTCGATGTTCAGATTTCTCTAGCTTTCAAAATGTCTCTGTAAACTTTTTTTTTTTTGGTCGGCGGGTAGGTAGGGGGTGAGGGAGGACCAGGATCTAGTCAAGGATCATTCATTGCATTTGATTATTATTTTTCTTTGTTCCCTTTTACTCTGAGGTAGTCCTTGCACCTTTTTATTTTTCCATGACACTGAAAAATAAATGTCATGGGCAAATTCTGAGGGACTAGGCTCTTGTTTTGTAGATGTCTCTGCTCATTTCCTCATAGGGTTATTTAACTTGTACCTTTAGCCCCTGAATTTCTGTAAGCTGTAAGTGAGGTCTAAAGGCTTGGTTATGTTCAGATTAAACTTTTTTTTTTTTTGCAAGGATACTTCACAGGGATGATGCTGTATGCTCCATATTATATCGCATCAGGAAGGACATAATGCCAGATTGCAATAATTCCTCTATTAGGGATTCTAAATTGAATTTGATTACAGTAGTTAACCATTGTAAGGGTACATCTATCTTTTTGCAACTGGCAGGTAATCTTCAGCTTGGTATTTCAACATCACACAGATAGCTTGTTCCCAATAACCTTTTGCTTAAAGGTTTAGTATATGTTGAATTGGTTTTTTCATGGGGAGTTGTGAAAGATGATTTTTGGATTCTGCCATTCCTTATACATTTATTAGATGGGGGGTTAATCTAGGGTTGGAGGTTAAGATCCAAAGACAAGGAATTGAGAAAGATGAGTGGCTCTCAAGGGCAGGTCTTGGTTTTGTGGGCTTGAAGCCTTTTCAATATTCAATAGTGTGGGCCCTTTTTATGTAAAAAAAAAAAATACAAAATTTGACACAGAAATGAACATTTTAAATTATAAAAGCTCAACAATATACATATTTTTAAGACCTGAGAAACACCATAACTTTATGAAATCCATAAAAATAATATAATTACTCCCTTGCATGCCTCTATAATATTTTTCCCCACAGCTTTGGCTATATACACTTTGATGTCTTCATATGACAATAATTTGGCAAGAGCATTTCTTTAGAGAACACAGGATGGTACCTCAAGTCTAATTTTTTATTACTGAAAGTTTAGGAGAGCTTCTTTCACAACTTAACATAAATTTTTAGAATTGTTTTCTAATTTGGGAAAGCCTCTCTCACAGTGTTTTTATGTACAAGCTGTAAAATTTGGAGGCTTTGCAAGTTTTGTTGTGCACTGGCCAATATCAAATGTACTTTGAGTGATTGGAGTACCAGTGATGATCTTGAGTGGCATAGTATGAGGTTCCTGTTTTCTTCACTTATATCAATACTTTGTGTTGAGCCAACAGGAAATTTAAATACTTTATTGATGTTCCTGTGATTTAGTTCTCTTCATTAATTGAATTACCAGAAATCCAAAATCTTAACTTATTGCTTCTCTTTACAGCTTCTGATGTAATTTGGAAATACTTCTGTTTGGGGGCTACAAACACATATTCTGACAAAGTTCATTTTGCACAGTTCTCAAAAAAGAGGAAAATGGATGGTATATTTATAATTGCATTTACTGTGTTACCAAGTATATTCCTGACAGAGGAGAATTTCTGATTAATTTCTGTTTTCACTATGTATTGATGGGAACTGAACCTCCGCTTAGGTTTACGTGCTAGGTGGTTGGCAGGACTTACCAGGCAACAGGTTCTGACTCCAGCCTGGGGACCATTCTGCCAGCGCTGGCTGCGTTAGGATGCTCATGAGTTCTGTAGGCCTGTTCCTGTGCTTCCTGTTACCATTCTGGTTAAGGA